TGCACTGAGCCCACTTTCTAGCGGGCAGCCAGATTTCCACATGTTCCTGCAAATGTGCAACTTATGTCACCTCCCAGGGGACAGAGCTCTCCCACAGCAGCAGTGCACAGCCCTCCATGCATCCCACTGCCCAGGCAGGCCTTTACTCACAGGATTGAAGATTCAGCTTCCCAGGGCAGAAGGGGGGTTGAAAGCAGCCCGGTCTTCTCCTCCTCCCTTTCTCTGCAGTGTTTTTGTAACCCTGCAAGCAAGGCAATGCAAACCACGCCAGGTATGCTTGTGCACTGGGAAGATTTGGAACACCCTGCACACAGGCACTCCAGATCCCTCCTCCTCTTTTCACTGCAGACACCAGCAGGCCGCAAGAAGCAACTGGTTGATCACTTTTTGAGTCCCCCCAGCACCACCTTTAGCCCTTTTGGAGCCCACAGAATAATGAAACCTCTCCAGCTGCTTCCACAGCAGCTGACGGCAACGCGCTGCTGCAGGGATAGGAAGAGCACAGCCCGGGGCTACTAGCCCCTTCCGCAGCCCCGGGTCGAGGCGAGCAGGGGCAGGGAGGCGTAGAACGGCGCGGCCCGCGGGAGGTAAGAGGGGCTTCGGGCCACCGCTGCCATCGGGCTCCTCCGGGGGAGGGAAGGGAGGGCGCCCCCCTATCCCGGTGCCTGAGTTTAAAAAGGCTGCGGAGATATTTTCACACCTCAAACTGCTCCCGCTCCCCGCCCCCCGCCCCTCCAGCCTCCATCGCCTTGATTTAGCCCTTGGTAATTAATTTGGCATTTCAGAATAGCTACTGCGCTGGATAATGGCCTCATTCATCTCCCCAGCCTAATCTGAACAGAATCTGGAAGAAAAGCTTTCAGAAAGACAGAAACTGCCATTCGGCAACTGCTCAAAAGAACTGTCACTCCAGGGGAATAAATCGCTCCTGATTATTTCAACCCGGGTCTTCTCTGCTTTTCCAGCCGCTCTCGTTCCCTGCCGGGGGGACGACCCCCAGATATTTGAGGAGGGGAAGATGTGGTTGGATTTCTCCCCTCCCTTCTCCAGGGCCCGCACCCGGGCGGTGGCAGGGGGAGGTGGGCCCGGGACAGCGCATTGTTCCGAAGAGGTGGACGAGCTCCTCCAGTCACAGCGATTTGACTTTTAAAATAGGCTCCGAGCGTCGCGGCCGCGTTTCCCGGCTGCTTTTTTGAGAGCTTAAAATAAAACCTTTAGCTGTCTCCTTTCTCGGGCTTCTTCCTGGCCAAATACGGGGGGAAAGGGCCGGGGCAAAGCGCATCTCGTCGGGGCCGGCGGCCGCCCCTGGTCCCGGCGCTGGCGGGATGACACCGGGAAGGGGTTGGAGCTGCAAAGGACAGTCCCCTCCCGCAACCA